TGATCTTTGTGGGAGGAAGAAAATGTGTAACCTTCACCTCATGGTTTGCCTTCAACTTGAAGTGCTAAATTTGACACCTCGTCAATGACGATCACAGCGACGAAATTGTGCACTGGTTGGCATATTTGCTAAGTTAAAGCAGTTGTTGAGGCATGTCTTCCACTATCGTTAGTTCCTTGATAGCAGGCGAGGATAACGCAGCCTTGTAATGTGTATGTGTAATGACGGCTCTGCTGGTGACGATGCATCTCGTGGTGTCTTTCCTTTCATCGTTGGAAGAGCCTGATGAGATCCAGCATTACACCTTCTGCAGTTCACCGTTTAAGGCACCTGACAAGCAACCCGTTCTTCCCATTGAGGCTCCACTGAAACACATGGCTAATAGCACGAAGGCGACCAAATGATTTTCAAGATCATCAACAGTCTGGCAATGCGTGTAGATATCTACGTCTCTCCTCGTTCCTCTGGATTCCCCTGCTGCTTTGTTCATAAGTTGACACACACCACACCCATCCACATCGTTTATGCACCTCCACTTGTTCTTTTACGCCTCAACTCAGTGTGCGAAGAATTAGCGAAACACCATATCAAGACCATGACAGTTTGGTTACAACTTTACCACTACAGCAGAACGTGAACAGCTCACCATGTATGGCAGAAAATTTGATGCGTACCTGAGGAGTTTGAGCAAGGAATGATGGTGCCAAATCCTGGAGCCATTTAAAATTGCATCTGTAAACAGACAGCCAGTCGAATGATTACTACTGTCCTCATGCCCTTACCAACCTAATTTTCTGGGCAGAAAAGGTGCTAATATCCACGAGTCAACCTATCGTCCCAACATGAAAAGTGATGTTTGGCATTGAAAAGACCCCTATTTCAATACAGTGCTCCCAGATGGTTCTGTAACATTTAAGGGCATCATCAAATGTATACAACGCGTACTTGTTGCTGTGATGAATGCTGCATGCTTAGTGCTGCGAGTTATCATTAGAACGGCAGCAACAATGGCGATGTGAATGGTGCATGGGGTAGGTGGAAGTAGGAGTGAAGGAGGATGCAAAGGATAAGGCGAATGAGGTAGAGAAGTTAGCAGAGGAGAAGGATGAGTATGGAGACGAGTGCGAGGCAAAGTCGGAAAAGTGCATTTCAATTTGCTCGGATATGTTGGCGGCCGCCAGTGTGTTGAAGGTGACAATGTCCATTCAGACACTTGGAATCTCCACTCCGCCTCACATGCTAACATACACGTACTGTAAATCATTTGTCTGTCGTCGCTGTCATCACTTCGTTATCGGTTTGCAACTGCTTTGAATGATCTCTTTGTGGAGGCACTGATTGCACGCCCACTTCTTAGTCAAAAAGGAGTACTTCACAACTACGCCTCTCTTTTACACTAATCGGTAGGAACGCGTATACGTGAGACCTACAGCGTGAATTGTCAGCGAAAATATGCATGGAAAATCACCTCCATGTGAGAAACAGATGGAAATGCATCTGTTAAGTGAATGTGCAAGCTATTCTACCAACAAATGTATTAAATGGATGCTGTGTGAAGCCGTATGAAGACTCTGACCCCAAACAGAGACCTCAAAAGGGGCTTTCTCCTAGTCACATCCTCTGCTACGCAGCGCGATGCACATAAGCTAATAGTGAATACACAATACCCTCCATCAACTATGAAATGCTTGACTTCCTCCTCATTATTTGCCTTCATACCATCGTGCCAGTGGCGATTCATTCGTTTATCAATTTATCATTGTACCCCCTCTTAAGGTGTACAAGGCAACACCTCGTCAATGACAGCAACTTCAACAAAATTGTTTACTAACAAGCACGTGGTTTCGCCAGATCCGTGATCGAGGCATTTGAATTGTAATCTCGCATGCTTCTCGATAGCGGAAGGGATCACCGCAGCTGTTGTGACATACGATGGATCTGGAATGCGTTCAGCCGGCTTTGGCGGTGACGGGGCGTCTCGTGTTTTCTTCGGCACCATTATAGGAAAACGGTTATTAAAATCTAGCAT